GCTAGTTGCTTTGTTTAGGTCAGTTCTTCCCGTGAGTAATGGTATTACATTTACTTTGGGCTAGTTACTTTGTTTAGGTCAGTTCTTCCCGTGAGTAATGGGACTACATTTACTTTGGGCTAGTTACTTTGTTTAGGTCAGTTCTTCCCGTGAGTAATGGGACTACATTTACTTTGGGTTAGTTACATTGTTTAGGTCAGTTCTTCCCGTGAGTAATGATATTACATTTACTTTGGTCAAGTTACTTTGTTTAGGTCAGTTCTTCCCGTGAGTAATGGGACTACATTTACTTTGGGCTAGTTGCATTGTTTAGGTCAGTTCTTCTCGTAGTAATGATATTACATTTACTCTGGGCTAGTTGCTTTGTTTTGGTCAGATGTTTCTGTGAGTAAAGGGACTACATTTACTTTGGGCTAGTTACTTTGTTTAGGTCAGTTCTTCCCGTGAGTAATGGGACTACATTTACTTTGGGCTAGTTGCATTGTTTAGGTCAGTTCTTCTCGTAGTAATGATATTACATTTACTCTGGGCTAGTTGCTTTGTTTTGGTCAGATGTTTCTGTGAGTAAAGGGACTACATTTACTTTGGGCTAGTTACTTTGTTTAGGTCAGATGTTTCTGTGAGTAAAGGGACTACATTTACTTTGGGCTAGTTACTTTGTTTAGGTCAGTTCTTCCCCTGAGTAATGATATTACATTTACTTTGGGCTAGTTACTTTGTTTTGGTCAAATGTTTCCGTGAGTAAAGGGGTAACCTCAATGGTTGGTATTGTTACGACAGCGGAAGTCACGTGACGCTGGTAACATGTGATGAGTATCTAGAAGGATTATGAAGGCCTGAGTGCATTTGAGACGCCCTCTCTTTTAATAAATAAGCCTGGCGAGTAAAACCAGCACGAGAGGCAGATAAATAGACGAGATATAGATAGATTAAAAGATAGAGATAATTGAGTCAAGCGAACAGTAGGCACCGTAAGTAAAGTGTGTGAATCACTGTGATTTATAGCGTGTGTTATAAAGGTTGTTATGTTTAAAGTGACGGTGGAAATTCTGTGTATTGCAAAGTTGTATTGTTTTAACTTGTTTTAGTTAAGAAAGGACTTGTATCGCTGTAGGTCCTCTGGAAGAATTTTATACCGGAAATTAACAAACGACCAGATACGTAACAAGTATGGTATCCTTGCATCACACCAAACATATTGTTTGTATAATTATAATAAATTATGGATTTCCGTTTTCTTGAATTTTCAGTATACTTAATTCCCTGACTATACTTTGTATCTAAACTTACACTGAAAAAAAAATCAAACCACTAAATATGTGTTTTGTTTTTGTGAAAAAAAGCACAAAACGGAACTGGTGTAATTTTATTAATAAGTTTGTGATACACTTATGTAACTTACATAATTCTTTATTCACGTGTGTAGGCCACTGCAACAAGGGATGCCCTAGCCAAAGCACTTTACTGTCGGACAGTGGCAACAATTGTGAGACGAGCCAATAGCCTGAAGAGGCTCGGATCTTCGACGGGGACACTGAGTACTGGTAGCACTGAATCAGTCCGTAATCGTACAGGTAAGATCAAAATGACGAAATAATTCTGATGAAAGCGATCTTGGTCGTACCGAATGTATCTTATCTTTGTAAGACGCTTCAATTAGTTGGTCATCATACAACTGACCCTAAATCCAGCATGACAACTGAGGCTAGAGTCACACTTTCTCAAGATGAAGCAGTATTTTGAATTAGTTAAGTAACTCATTATATCAACCAGTGAAATAATAACTCATTGTTTCTTCTGACAGAAATTGGTAGTGGCCATCTTTCATCTACTGTGCACTCAGAAAACAAGTCTCTGACTGTTCTCAGCTCAGCCATTCGCCAGGTCAATGACGGCTTTATCGGTATTCTAGATATGTTTGGGTTTGAAGATGGGAAGGTAAGAAGAGGAATAACCTTTTTGAAGTATTTTGTTGGGGTTTGATTTTCATTTAAAAAAAAAAAAGAAGTAAAATTCTCTGTTATAAATTCTTCAAAATGTCAAGATAAAACCTCACTGGTTTAGTGTCTTTTTTTTAAAGTTTGGGTAATTTTTATTTTTCACAGCCAAGCCAACTAGAACATCTTTGCATCAATCTGTGTGCCGAAACGATGCAGCATTTCTATAACACTCACGTGTTTAAAAGTAGCATAGAGTCTTGCCGGGAAGAAGGAGTTTACAGCGATGTGGAGGTGGACTATGTGGATAATGTACCGTGCATAGATCTAATATCGTCCCTTGTAAGCTGCCACTCTTCTTTTCTTATATATATATATAATCTCTTACTTTGTAAGTGTTCTACAAGGTGCAACAAACATAGCGCCCTCTGTCTGTCTTAGTTTTAGAATACTCAAATGGGTTGGGTGCGGTAAACATCACTCATGGACGTAGGTGTCCACTTATAGAAATGGGGTGGGGGTTGTGCCCCCCATCACTGGAATATGAAATTTTCGTTAGAAACAAGACTTGAAAGTAGATTTAAAATCTTGAAATATAAAGAGTAAAATTACAGCTATTATTTCAAACAATATAACCTAT